GGGTGTATATATAGCGTGTGGGGCACATGCCTCCTTGGGGTGTCCATCTCAACGCGCGGTGGCCCGCTCGCACTCCTGCCCGAGGAGGAGCATGCCTGGGCCCCGAGGCTGCCGGGGTTCTCCCTGACCCCCCCAAGTCCACCCCACGGAGCTCGACACCGTGCACACGCAGGGAAACTTTCTGCCTCCTCAACGGATGGATGAACCAAGCGGTTCCTCCCTCCCTGGATTACTTTGAGCTTCTGGAAGAGAAAAGCTGGAGCCCAGGAATGGTCATCAGCCTGGGGGTAAGGTGGCTGTCCCGGGGATGGGCGAGCAGCGTTCCCGGGCGTTGCCGTGAGGTTTGGTGCTGCTGGCAGGGAAGGGTGGCAGGTGGGGAGAGGGACAGCGAGACAAGCAGCGTGGTCTGGGCGGGAAGGCAGCCCCCACCACTGGGTCTCTCGGGGAAGGGGCTTGACCTCGCTGCGGGGTTTAAGGCACAAACCCAAGGCACGGCTCCTGCGCTTCGGGCTCGGTGGTGGCACGAGGGGCGTCTGATCAGGAGAAAGAAGAGGAATCTCCATTCAGATGGCCCAAAAATGGGTCCCAGGCACACTTAGCGTGGCCAGGGAGTCTTCCAAAATTATTATGCCGCTGGTCTGGAGCGCAAGGAAAAGGGCAAGCGAGGAGGTGGGAAGCGTTGCTTCCCAGCAGGGGTGGAAGCGTTACTGGGGGTTTGCTGGAGGCAGGACTGGAGCAAGTGTAGGTTTAAACGAGGTTCTGGCAACAGATGAATTTAGGAAGGTGGCAGTTTACGGTTCACCTGGAGGAAAAGAGTGAAAAAGAGCCGCTTGGAGCACAAGTCACCCACGCGAAGGAAAAGCTTTTTGAGGACTGGACTAACCCAGGGAAGGAGTGGGATAAGGCGTTTCTTTGGGTCCAGTGCTGAAACTTGTCTTCATGCAAATGGTCCTGCGTCTCCTGCCAACATCCTTCTGCGACTGAGACCCCCGTGCAGGACTCCTGCCTCCCGTGCTTGATGCACCTTAAAGTCACCCGCAAGGATGCTGAGACAGTGGCGGCAGCGTGTCCCACAGCCTGTGCCCTCTGCGGACCGCAGCGGGCTGGTGAGCGGTTCCCAGGCTGTTCCTGGGCCAGGTCACCATCCCTGTCCGCCCGAGGAGAAGGAGGTTTTGCAGCCTCCCCGACCCCAGCTCGAAGCGACACGCTCGTGCCTCAGTGCTGGTGTCCTCGGAGGGGACAGGAGGGGGTTGTCTCCTTCCCTGCCCTGGGCTGAAGCGATGGGGCCAGGAGGCAGTGGAGCCACTCCGCAGTTTCTTGTGCCAGGGTGGCTCACCCGCACGTGGACGGCACCTCCAGCGCGGGCGGATGAGGCAGCACCTGAGTTTGCCGAGCAAGAGGGGAACAGGCCTGTTGTTTCCAGAGCAGCAGCAGCACCAGATGAAGAGGGAGGTGAAGCCAGTGCAAGAGGTCAAACGCAGCTCCGCGTCCCCGAGAGCAGCGGGGAGAGTGTCTAAAGAGAAGCTGCGCACACAGGCGTGGAGCCGCACGCGCGAGCGCGATCCTGGACGTCCCCGCACCGACGCCTCGCCGCGGCCCTGGAGCTGGAAGTGCAGAGCTGCCGCGGCACGTGTCCGACCCCGGAGCCGACCTTCCCTCTTCCTCCCGACCCGGCTGCAGCCCCTCCCCAGCCTGCGCTCCCGGC